TGTTGCACCCAAATGAGTATGCATCCGGCCCTCAACGCCCATCAGGTTTTACACCAGATCCTCTATATCCTCCAGGTTTTACACCTATATACGTTTATGTTCGTTCTCTATCTCCATATGAGACTCGACCTGGAATCTACGTGGCCAACCAACAACACCACATTGAGCCCTCATTCCCAATGAACTACCCACCTGCTGCTAGGGTAAGGCCTGACGAATTAGGCATAGAAGATATGCCGCCCGACTTTAATGAATTAGCAGAAAAAGAGAAGGCCAATAGTGAGATAACCCAACAACTGAATAGTCTGAAGGAAATAGTAAGGTCGGTAGAAGTAGATTTGTTTTATGGAATAGAAACCAGAGAGGTAAGCTTAGTTCTTGATCTTATACTTGCCCTGAAGTTTAAAGTACCGAACTTCAAAAAGTACAATGGGGCCATCTGTCCATCTGCTCACCTCACTATGTACTGTATAAGATTGGTGGGCTTTACCGATATGAAAAAGCTATTGATAAATTATTTCCAGGATAGTTTGACCAGGTCAGCTGCAAAGTGGTACAACCAATTAACCAAATCTCACGTCAAATCATGGAGGGATTTAGCCAGGGTATTTTTGGAGCAGTACTGCCACGTTACTGACTTAGTACCTAACAATAAATCCTTTAGGCAGTACGCCCAGAGGTGGTGTAATGTGGCAGCACAAATGCATCCCTCATTACTAGAAAAAGAGGCTACCGTCATTTTCGTAAATACATTGAAGGCGTCGTATCTTGGGCATCTGTTAGGAAATGCCACTAAGAATGTTTCTAAGCTGGTCATTTCAGGAGAACTGGTTAAAAATGCCATTAAGAGTGGTAAAATTGAGGGAGGATAAGGGTCAAAGAAGCCCTACTATAAAAAGAATGATAACGAGGTGAATCATGTAAACACTTACCATAAACATTTGTGGCTAGTGTTACGATCACCCAGCCTAGGGTAGAGAAAGTAAATGCCCTTGAGAACAAAGGGCTAAGAAGGGAGATTACGAGGATGACTTTCTCACCTGTGCCAGTGTCGTATTTTTAAATATATGCCCCGCTATTGAAAGCGGATTTGGTACGCCCCTATAATTTTACTTCGCTACAATCACCTTACCCTCATTGGTATAATGTCAACGCCCACTGCAAGTACCATGCAGGGATATCTAGGCATGACATCGAGAACTGCTTGACATTGAAAAATATTGTGTAAAATCTTATCAACACTAGAGATCTGGAGTTCAAAGCACCAGGTGCAAACATTTATCCCCTGCCCAATCATGGGGACAGGGAGTCAATGTGATTGACGAAAGAGAGAATAGGAGGATAAAGAGGGATGTATCAGAAGTCAAATCTCCTCTTAGCTGGACGTTTAGACAACTATACATATCAAGAATGATCAGGGGTGATCCCAACTCGAAACCGATGAGACATGAAATATATTGTGAGTATCACCAAAAAAAGAATCACGACATTCAAAATTGTGACGAATTCTGAGGATTAATTCAAGAGATGATTAACAATGGTGAAGTGGAATTCGTTAATAAAATGAGAGCTAACGAAATATGGATGTTTGTATGACGAATGGTTTTAACAGAATACAGGGAACGAGAAAGCATGTGATCATCACAGTTAGACCTAGAAACTAGAGCTTATCGTCAACAACTCCTAAAGTTGTGATTACAACTTTGTCTCCCTTCTCATTCAAGGACACACGACAGGTTCCTTAGAGTTATGTAACAAGTGTATTTATACTAGAAGGGTCAAGGTCTTCTGAAAACATAGGAGAGGAAAAAAGTCACTCACGAAAGAAATAAGTGAGGTAGGACATTTCACAATGAGTGGAAGATGCTACCCACCTGAGACGTCCACAGAGATAGACAGGGCAAAATCCAAAGCCAAGTCAGTGGTAGGACAAAATGTTTTAGCGAAGAACCTCCACTAATCATTACTGAGCTAGTGGCTAAAGTTTAGGGTCGTGAATTACTGAGGTTCTTAAAGTATAGTGAATACATCATAGTGGAGCAGCTTCACAAGCAGCATGCCAAAATCTCAATATTAGATCTGTTAATCAACTTAGAAGTACATCAGAATGCCTTGCTGAAAGTACTCAACCATATATTCGTCCCTAAGGATATTTTGACACATAAGTTAGACCAAATCGTAGGGTACATAGTTGCAGATAACTATATCATATTCACTGATGATGAGATCCCAAAAGAAGTGATGAGATCCATTAAGGCTTTAAATATCACAACACACTTCCACAACCATGTCTTATTAGGGGTTCTAATAGATAATAGGTCTGTATTAAACGTGATGCATTTGGATATGCTACAAAGGATGCCCATAGACAGCTCACACATGAGAGCTTATCATATTTTCGTCAGGGAATTCGATGGAACCCAGAAGGTCGTGATGGGGAAAATATAGATACCTTTGTTAATTGGACCTGGCATCTACCACATTGACTTTGTGGTGATGGACATCTACATGACCTATAACTGCTTACTGGGGAGACCCTGGATCTACGCTGTAGGGGAAATTCCTTCATCTCTACATCAGAATTTAAAATTCGTGATTGATGAGAGGTTGGTCAGCATCAAAGCTGAAGAAGAAATCATTGTTTCTATAATATCTTATGCCTTTTACATCGACATCAACGAAGATGACTTGGAATGTTCCTTCATGGATTTAGAGTTCATTAATGCAACATATGTAGCCGAATGAAGCAAGGTTCTGTACCCCGTGCTATCAAATTATACCAAGATGATAGTAAGTAAAACCCTTGGAAGAGGGGCAAAGACCAATAAGGGACTGGGAAAGGATCTATAGGGAATGGTACGACCCATAATTATCAAAAGAAAGAGAGATTGTTTTAGACTCGGGTTTAAGCCCACCTTTTAGCAACGTATCCAAGAGATGAGAAAAAAAGACTAAAGCAAGAAAAAACACGTTGAAATGAGAGGATATCCCTGGAGAACGCATGTCTTTCCCTCATCTAAAGAACTTTTTCAAATTCAGAAGAGTGTATGACGTACATCAGCAGCTGGCCAGTGCCATCAGGATTGAGGAGTTGACAAAAGAGGGGGAATTTATGGGAGAAGCTTTAGAATGATTGTCTGTCAACATGATTACCAAGGCAACCATCCTGGAAAGTTTTTAGCTTCAATCCGTCATTGCTTCCCCTGTGAAAATCTCGACAACTAGACAGATGAAGACCTTCTTATAGTTTTTAGGGTTAACTCAAAGTAATGCCCAGAAATAACTCGTGTTAGCATCTTAAAAGTATCTAAAGGATTTTTTTTAAAACTTAAAGATTATCAAATTGATTAATGAAAGATATTTTTCTTATTTTCTCAAATGACAATCACTTTCATTCTTCGCATTTTTGCATCGCGTTCTTTGCATCATATTTTGTATTATATATTCTTTATTCTTTATTTTCCAATATATACGAGCCAAATTTTATGCAGATGTCACAATAATACTAGCATAAATGTTCATAAGGTCAGTTACAAGATAGATTTTGAGTGACCTTTGTGCCTGGAAGAAGTCTATGAGTGCAAAGATGAGGAAGACTGTGAAGTTCCTAATGAGCTATTAAGATTGGTGGAAAAAGATGAAAAACAGATTCTACCCCACAAAGATGAAACAGAGGTTGTGAATTTAGAAATAGTAGAAGTAAATAGAGAGATAGAAATTGGCACTACTCTATCCGCAGGAATAAAGCTAGAATTAATAAGTTTGCTCTAAGAGTTTAAAGATGTCTTTGCATGGTTGTATCAAGACATGCCTGGGTTGAGCACTGATATAGTAGTCCATAAGTTTCCAATTGAGCTAAAATGCAAGCTAGTTCAACAGAAACTTAGGAGAATGAAGCCAGAAATGTTATTAAAGATAAAGGAGGAAGTGATGAAACTGATCGATGCATGTTTCCTTCAAGAGGAAAAATATCTCGAATGGGTAGCCAATATAGTTTAGGTACCTAAAAAGGATGTGAAGGTCCACAAATACATGGATTATCGATACCTTAATAGGGCTAACCCGAAGGACAATTTCCCTTGCCTCATATAGATACTCTGGTAGACAATACTGCGAGGTATTCTTGGTTTTCCTTCATGGATGGCTTCTCGGGGTATAATCAGATAAAAATGAGTCCTAAGGACATGGAGAAAACAACATTTATAACCGTGTGGGGGACGTTTTTCTATAAAGTGATTTTGTTTGGTTTGAAAAATGTTGGGGTAACTTATCAAAGAACCATGGTAACTCTTTTCCATAACATTATGCATAAGGAAATTGAAGTATATGTGGATGACATGATTGCCAAGTCCCGAACAGAAGAAGAGCATGTACAAAATATGAGAAAATTATTCCAAAGATTGAGGAAATATCAATGAAAGCTCAATCCAGCTAAATGCATGTTCAGGGTAAAATCATAGAAACTACCGGGCTTCATGGTGAGCCAGAAAGGAATCAAGATCGATCCAGATAAGGTCAAGGCAATTCAAGACCTTCCAGCACGTCGCACGTAAAAAAAAGTTCTAGGCTTCCTAGGAAGACTAAATTATATATCACGATTCATTTCTCAGATGACCAATAAGTGCGATTCGGTGTTCAAATTTCTTAGAGAGAATAATCTTGGGGTGTGGAATAACGAATGCCAAGAGACTCTGGAAATTATCAAGAAATACATGTCCAATTCCCCCATACTAGTAGCACCAGTACCTGACAGGCCACTAATTCTCTACTTAACAGTTTTCGAGAATTCAATGGGCTACGTGCTATGGCAACATGACGAGTAAGGAAAAAAGGAAAGAGTTATTTATTACTTGAGCAAGAAGTTTACCGATTGTGAGACTCGATACCCACTGATTCAAAAGTTGTGTTGTGCCTTAGTTTGGGCAACCCAGAGACTCATGCAATACATGTTATACCATACCACATGGCTGATATCTAGGATTGATCCATTAAAATTTTTTATGGCGTCTCCTGCTTTGACTGGTAGACCTGCTAGATGGCAGATGTTGTTGTCCGAATTTGATATTATCTATGTGAGCCAAAAGGTAATAAAAGGGAGTGTCATAGCCAACTTTCTTGCAAGTCGTTCCTCGGAAGATTATGAGTCTTTAAACTTCAATTTCCCGTATAAGGATTTGATGTGCATTTCTATTTAAGAAGAAAAAATCGTGGACAACAAATCCTGGATATTGTACATTGACGGAGCCTCTAACCTTCTAGGAAAAGGAATTGTGGCAGTATTAATTTCCCCAGAAGAGATCTACTATCCTTTCACAAGTATATTGGAATTCTTTTGCACCAACAACATGGTCGAATACGAAGCATGCATCATGAGGTTAAAAGCATCAAAATGCTTAAAGTATATGGAGATTCCTCATTAGTCATGTATCAACTAAGAGGAGAATGGGATACAAAGGAACCAAAGCTAATTGGATACCAGAACTTGGTCCTCGAGCTATTGAAAGAATTTGAGGATGTCACATTCAAGTATCTCCCCCGAGAAAACAATCAAATGGATGATGCTTTGGCTACATTGGCTGCGATGTTTAAAGCTAATAAGAATACAGACATGATGCCAATAAGGATGCAAGTATAAGAGACTCTTACTCATTGTTATCTTCTAAAATAAGAAGTGGATGGCCATCCATGGTACCACGATATCTTATAGTAAATGAGATACCAGACATATCCCCTTGGTACATATGAAATTGACAAGAAAATAATCAGAAGAATGGAAGTTGGATACTTCCTTGATAGAGATATCTTATACAAAAGGGGCAGTGACCAAGTTTTGTTGAGATGTGTAACTGCCAAAGAAGCAAAAAGTGTAATGGAAGAGGTGCATGGTGGAACACGTGGAAAACATGTAAATGGTTTATCTATGGCTAGGAAAATCATGAGGTATGGATACTATTGGGCCACGATACATACAAATTACGTCAATTATGTAAGAATATGTCATAAATGTTAGATATATGCCTATAAAATTCAAGCACCGCCTTTGCCTTTGCATATTATGAGCTCACCTTAGTTATTTTCCATGTGGGGTATGGACGTCATTGGGCCAATCACACCAAAAGCTTCAGATGGACATCGATTCACCTTAGTGGCAATTGATTATTTCATTAAGTGGGTAGAGGAAGCTTCCTATTCCAGTATCATGAGATCTACAGTTTGCAAGTTCATAAAGAGAGAAATTATCTGTCGATATGGATTGCCAGAGAGAATCATCACAGCTAATGCTACTAATCTGAATAACAAGATTATTGATGAACTTTGTGCGCAGTTCAAGATAAAAACATGCCAATTTCGTGACCTACTACCCAAAAATGAATGGGGCAGTAGAAGCGACAAGCAAAAGCATCAAAATTACCATTGCAAAGACTATAGAAACTTACAGAGATTGGTATGAGAAATTAACCTTTTCCCTCTATGGATATAGGACGACCGTGCGTACATCGAAAGGGGCAACACCCTTCTCTCTGGTATATGGAATAGAGGAAGTCATACCTATTGAGGTTGAAATTCCATCACTTCGAGTCTTGAAAAAAATAAAGTTAGATGAAGCAGAATGGGCTCAATCTCGTATTGATCAATTGAAACTTATTAAAGAGAAAAGGCTGAAAGCTATATATCATGGGCAAATGTACCAAAGAAGGATTATGAGAGCCCACGATAAAAAAGTACGCCCAAGAAAGTTTTAAGAGGGGGATCTAGTACTTAAAAAGAGTTTGCAAATCTAGAAAGATTTCCACGAGAAATGGATGCAAAATTGGGAGGGGTCATACATTGTCAGAAAGGCCTTCTCCGGAGGAGCATTGATTTTGGCAGAGATGGACGGAAGAGTGTTGAGAAACCCAATAAATTCAGACTATGTCAAGAAATATTACGCCTAAGAAAGAGAAAATAAAAATAAAAAATAAAAAAAATAAAAAAAATAAAAGAAAATGAGGGTTAAAGGTGAAAACCCGTAAAGATCATCTTGAACCAAGGGAATGATTTAAGTTGAAAACCTGAAAAGATGGCTCAAATGCATTTTGATGTTATGGTATCCGGAAAATAAACCCTCTCAAAATACTAGTAGCCAGTGAAATACTTCACTTCTGCAAATAACTCTGCTACCTCGAGATCTCCCAAACAGAGAATCACCTCGATATGTCAAATTAACTTATTCATGAACACTTGTTCTAGAATTCGTTATGACATTCTTTTTGCTTCCAAAATATCTATTCAATATTTTCAGTTGCCATGACTTTGTGTAAAACTTATATTTCGTCAATAAATTTCATGATTATCATTTCAATCTTCAAATCATTCATTTTTGCGTGTCACAAACTACCTAACATAATTCAAATTCCAAACGAATAATTTATCGGTTTTACTTTTGAGTTAACCTGTAAAATACTAGAAATCCAAGGCAGTCCACCAGGTCGATATTTACACTCATTGAAGAAAGTAGTTGACAAAAGGCAAGACAAGAGATGACAACAGTCCGAATAACATAGTAAATAATGAAAAGGCGATGACACAGTTTCATTCCCAGTCATGTTTCCGGCCACTGTCAGGTAGAGGCGCGCATAGATCTTTAGGAAATCAGTCTTTAGGGATTACGAATCAGACAAGGAGTCAGTAAAGACAAAAACTAGATAAAGATAAAAAGGAAAAAAAGTCTAACGATACCTTAAAACTTAAAACATGAAATTCACATTATGCATATTCAAGCATTTTCAAAATAGAAACATACACATTCATTTGGAATCAAGTTTTGAATGTCTAACAGGAATTCAAGGAGTCAACAAATATTTCATATGAAAGAAGAATCAGTCCATATTTCCTTTAACCGTTGAAGGAAATAGATCGCAACGAAATTAAGGACCATATGGTTATTACCTTCGGGTACTTTAAATAAAAATCACTGACTGCAGGTTTAAAAGTCTTCAAAGAGAAGATAAACCAATCAACATTTCTAGTGGAGAGTTCATAATAAGAAGAACTCATCTGATAAAGGGAGAAGAAGCTCATAATGAGAAGAACTTGTTTGACCTTTGCTCGATTCATCGCATATGGAGTTGAATCAGCGATGCCTCACTTGAGGGATTAATATTTCCAATGGAGAGTTCATAATGAGAAGAACTTATCCAATAAAAGGAGAAAAAGTTCATAATGAGAAGAACTTGTTCAACCCTTTTTGCTCGATTCTATCACAGAAAGAGATAGATCAGCATCAACATTTTGTTCGATTTTATCACAGAATGGGGTGGATCAATAGGAACGAAAAAGGAGAAGAAATTCACAATGAGAAGAACTTGTTCAACCTTTGCTCAAATCCATCACAGAAGGAGGTGGATCATCATTTCCAATGAAGAGTTCATAATGAGAAGATCTCGTTCGAAGAGTGATAAAAATTTCATAATGAGAAGAACTTGTTTAACATTGGCTCGATTCCATCACAAAAAGAGGTGGATCATCATTTTCAATAAAAGAGTTCATAATGAGAATAACTTATCCAAAGAGGGAGAAGAGGTTCATAATGAGAAGAATTTGTTTAACCTTTTACTCAAATCTGTCACAAGATGAGATGGGTTGTCATTTCAATGGAAGGGTTCATAATGAGAAGAACTCGTCCGAACAGAAGAGTGAAGAGTTCATAATGAGAAGAACTTGGAGCTTAGAAATATCAGATGACCAAACTAAAAAATTGGTGCTTTTTGTCTTTTCCCTATTCCTATTTCACAGCAATGAGCAAAGAAAGGCAACTGTAATCACCAATTTTTCACCATATATATTATTATTATATTATTATGATAATACAAAAATTTAAAAAAAGAAATCAAAAAAAAGGAAATCCCTTAGTATCTGAGGCATTCAATGCTCCGGTTGAAGTTGATCACCAACTCGTCTGTCATCACCAACTCAGCTGCTGCCAAGCCCCAGGTATTGCCATACACGCCACTAACCCTCTGCAGCAGCCTATCCCCTACAGCACAACAACCACGCCATCACCAAAATACAAAGCAATGTCAAATTATTTTAGGCTAATACCTACTGTAATATGGGTATAAAACCCAAATCAAGCAATTGTAAAAGGGAGACTTTTCTCCCTTCATATTTAAAGCAATACAAGAGCAAAAAAAAATTAAGGTAATTTGTTTCTTTTTTTCAGTTAAAAAATAAAAAAATACAATATAAAGAGAAAGTTGAGTGGTTATCGGATAGCCATGGGTGGCAGTCAGAGCGGACCGGAGGTGGCTAGGGTTGGTCCGACGATGGTTGGCCGAGAGAGAGAGAGAGTTGGGAGAGTTTTGTTTTTGTTTTTGTTTTTGTTTTTGTTTTTTTGAAATAGGTGAAAGAATGAAAAAAAGAGAAGAGATATGTTTTATATAAGAGTTTTTGGGTTATTCATGCTTAGGTCCCTCTAGTTTTAGCGTAATTTTGCACTTTGGTCACTTGCGAGGAACAAATATGTTATTTTCCCATTCTTTACTCATGCTATAAATTGATTAGTATAATCACGCTTAAGTCCCTCCAGTTTTTGCACTCTGGTCACCTGCAGTGATCGCTTTATTTTATTTTACTTTTGTTGGACTAATTTTGTGATTTTCACATTTGTATTTAATAGTGTATTTTAGGCTTAGAAAAATGAATAATTATCTATTAATCCCTATAGTTTCATTTTTTTTATATTTTAGTCACTAACTTGTTTTTTATTTTTATTTTAATTTAGTTATTCAATTTCAAATTTATTTTAATATAGTCCTTGTATTACATGTTTAATTTATTTCTTTTAAACCCCTATAATTTAATGACAATGTGATTTAGTCCCTTTATATTTAATTTGTTAGATCTCGACTAAAATTCATATTTGTTCGCTTATTTTATTTTATTTTATTTTATTTTATTAATTTATTTATTTTGCATTTTAAATTTTTTACTTAGTTGTTTGATACTTTAAAATGCATGGTTATTTTGTATTTATATTTAATTTAATTAATCCTCGTAGAGTTTCTCCATGAATTATGATTTTTAAGTTAAAATTTCAATTTAGTAATTAGAGTTTCACCTTAGACTTAATTAGGGAACAATTCGATTATAGTTTTCTCAAAAATGTTCGATTACTCGAATCGATTGTTCGAATCCTCAAATTGTTAATCATTAAATAATTTCTAAAAATTATTTAGTTCAACCTCTTTATTTTTTTACCACAATTATTAGAACCTTGGTTTATTGGCTAGTCCTTAAACTTTAGATATTATAGATTTAGTCATTTTACTTTAATTTACTTACACCAAAGTCTCCGAACTCTAGAGTTTTATATTTAGGTCTCTAAGACATAGTTCTCTTATTTTTAGCCTTTTTATTTTTAATTAGACTTTTAAATTAACATAATCAATTTGAATAGTTAGAGCCTCCATTTTAACCTTCATTTCAAACTAGTCTTTAAACTTAGGCGGATTTTTTTAATTTGGTCCTTGCTTTTGTTTCAGGTTCCATTTTAATTATTTGAATATTCCAGAATTGGTTAAAATTAATTAGGTTAATATTAGAGCCTACACTTTTAGGTTTAATTCCTTAGGTCCTTTAAATTTTATAATTTAC